CATATTCTACTTGGCCCACTATTTCCAACCGCTTGTTGCGCTCACTCCTTGCGAACCCGCACACGTTCCATGACCCGACTCTCAGCTTGTGCTTTTCCCTATTGGAGATTTTGCGCACTTTATCGTTCGCCTTCCGCTTTTTCTCGGACTTCTTCTGACTTGCTTGCTCGACTGCCCTGCTCGGTCCTTTCTTCGCCTCCGTCGCCCTCGCCTCTTGTCTCCTTACCTTCTCTGTTTCTATCATGTTCGCGATGCAAACCCTCCATCCAAACTTCCTTACGTAGTTCGACAGCTTCTCGATATCAACCCCCAAGCACTCTTGGCTGTCTCCCTTGGTCAATTTCACCCGGAAGTGTTCATGTTCTCTGCCTACTTGTCCCCTTGCTAGGCAGTGCAGTCCCTCCCTGTCACAACAGTTCTTGAACTCTATCCTCGTCATGTCCCTTGGAATCCCAAACAGCAGCAGCTCCAACTTGTCTCCCTTCCACAGTTTCTGCTTCCATCCTCCAAGCTTCTTCACCATCCTCATGATCTCTACGGCAACTGGACCTTGGCCACTTGTTTTCCGTGTTTTTTCAGGAAGGTATACGGAATACTCGGCCTTCCCAATCCGATTGTCCGGCGGGGGTTGTGGTTCCTTTCAGTTCTTTTGCCGGCTCAGGGGCGGCTCAGGGGCGGCTCAGGGGCGGCTCAGGGGGCGGGGTATTTTCGGGAGTCGTGTACTCTTTGCCAGGAAATAACACCTGACCGTGGTCGAGCGAAAGACAGGCGCGATTGGAAGGTTCAGCCATTGCATCGCAAGCTCCAAATACCGCGTTCGGAGATGCAGGCAACAGAGAGAGGAGGCCTGGAACTCCCGACGAGGTGACAGATTGGAAGACTCAGAAAATGTGCATTTAGCAATTACAAATGGAACAATGCGGACGTTCGCAGCGCATCATCTTCTAATGGGGCGCTAGGTGAGTGTAAAAGGATGTAGGCAAAATTGCCTCATAATCAACCGTGTTCATGATAGCGATGGAAAGCTCGGAATGAGATCGCAACAGCAATGCCTTCATCTCATCGAATGCGCAAAATCATTTCCATTTTTTGTATGCCTGACTGCTAGAGTAGACTAAGTTTGTTTTTCTGCCTTCCCTCCGCTCTCCAGCTTCATTTCATTTGATGCTCAGTCTATTTTCTCTCCGCCTCTTTTGCTCTGCGCTACCGACGATTTGTCTCCGCTCATGGAAATCCCTCGCATTCTTGCAAGATCATCGACAGGGTTGATGCTACCGTGAGCGCCTTGGCCGGCATCGTCTCGCTCGTTGATCAAGGCCTTTCAGGGCGTCGGAGAAGAAGCAGCCAATAGATTCCCGGCATTGACACCAGCCACCTTGGCACCGTTGCCCCCTGCGGGTTGGTTCGGCGGGCTCCCTCCAATTTGCACACATGGACAATCGCCATGAACCAGACACGGCAGCAGTCGACAGGTTCAGGTGTCCGCCGTGTAGATATTTGTGTGGGCACGCTTTTCTGTGCGCACTGCAGGTTTAGTAAACTCAAGGTGCATTCGACGGTCCGCTGTCACCCGATTAGTCAATTCAGCAGCTTTCACCTCATATCCGGTCGCCCCGGTGGTCTTGTGGGTAGCCTCGCATCCTGCGAAGGGCCAGGTCATGGGTTCGAGTCCCGACACAGTGAGTTTTTTCTCGCTTATTAGTCTAGACAATACAAACAATTATTATAGCATCAAACGTCACGAAGGCGAGAAAAAGAACAGCCGACGAAGCTGAGAAGAGAGCCAAGTTCAATGGTCGAAGCTGTCAAACAAGCCGAACTTGGCAAAAGAGCCGAAGCTCAACAGCTACTGCTGTAGCAAACGAGCCGAAGCTCCCGCGCGTGCATATCCTTTACACAGGACAACAAAGAGGCGGCAGATGGGCAGACGACCAGATGTATACAATAAACAAAAGCAACAGCAAAAGCGAGATCAAGGTACCCAACGCAGCAGGGTAGGCAGGGAGGACATAACAAAAAAAAACTTCAGCACAGAGACCGAAGGCAATGCAAAGGACATACACGAAGTAAAGGAGAATAGCATACAGCAGGGAGGGAAACAGGGCGCAACAACATCAGCCGGGTTGTCTAGACTTGTCTACATAGTTCGCCACATGTCCTGCCTCGGCCGCCCTCTTCGCTTCTACAGCAGTGCCCGGTCGCCGTTTCTTCCCCCCCACCGCCGCTTCGCCGACTCTCTTTCTCTTCGGTCCTGAGATGGCCGTACTCTCTGCTTCTGCTTCCCTCGCGCGCTGGCGCTTCGCGGACGCTTCCGCCTCCTGCCTGTGCCATTTCCTCATGAGCCATGCCACCCCGTCCTAGACCTTGTAATAAGTTATTTTTGTTTTTTGTTTTTCTCCCGTCATTGGATTCTGTCGTCTGCCCCTCTGGCCCCTATCCTCCACTTCTACCAGCTAGACAACCCAACCGGGGTCACATAGGAGCGGGGGGGTGGACCCCCTCCTGCGGTTCCTGCCTGAGATGTTTTTATCGCGAGAAGGGTACAGCAATCCCTTCCCTCGCGACTTTTGAAGCCGATCAAGTTTACTATCAACGAGCTTTGCAGCGCGTCGCTTCCAACGGAGACCAGGATTTAGTCTACTTGCAGCGTTTTCTTTTCCCCCCGCGTTTGTTTGTTGGGCGAAACTTGGCGTTGACGCTCCGTCAATCATGCAACTAGCAGCATCACTTGTCGCCGCACTCACCTTCCGGGGTGAGCACCGTACAGCTCTGCTGCTGGCTGTGTGGGTATTCGTTCTCTTTCCTTCCCCAACAAATTCCGTTTTAGGACCAAATTATTGAGTGGGTGGTGTAGTTATCCCATGGTATTTCTTATACTTTTGTCGTAAGTGTGTAAACACATTATATGCATATAAACATCAAAAGTAGTCGACACTAACAGGTTGGTTATGACTTCGGTCACCCAACCCGGACACGTGCTGTAGCTTCGGCTCACGCCTGTGACAGCAGTTTCGACTGCTCGCCGTCCTCACACCACGGTTTCCATGCCACTAGTTTACACTATGCCCGCAGTTTCGACAGCCCGCCGGGCTCGCACCGCGCTTTCCTTACCTGTTGTTTCGACAACCAACCCCAATGCTAGGTGCTGCTTCGGCGTTTCTAGCTGTAACCTCGGCTACTGCTGCAGTCTCGACCTGCTATTTCGCTACCTGCTGTCGGCTGCCTCAATACAGGACGCCGCTGATGCGGCCAACGGGTCTCGGCTCGACCTCCATGATGTGGTGAGCCGCCTCCTCGTGGCGATGCGGGCGGCCACCATGAACTTAACGTCTCCGGTGGTGTGGCCCGGCTGCGCCATGGCGACTCCGGCATCTCCGGCGTTCCAGCAGCCCAAGACCGGCCGCGTCAAGGCGAAGCCGGTCCAGCCCATCGTCGTGCTAGAGAGTAGCTCAGGCGAGGACTCGGGCTGGAATTCCGCGGGAGCCTCTCGCCCCCCCCCGGAGCCATCTTCATTGGCGGGCAATGGTCGGGCACGGCAGTAGGCCAAGCGCCACACGAGCGGGACTCGTGGCAAGGGAGGCGGATCGGGCTCAGGTTCAGACCGGAGTCTCACCCGGAAGCACGGCGCTCGGCAGGGTCCTTCTTCCAGGCAAGTAGTCCCGTCCCTTGTGGATGCGACTTTGAGTGATCGTTTTCTTTTACATGATGATGTTTTTTCACAGGCTTCGGTCCCCCCCTCGACTTCGGTTGTTGGTACGGTTTCGCCCCCCCCTCTTTCCTCGGACTCAGGACATGTACGTCGCGTTGAGTTTTCGAACTCAGCCCCGGTTTCGACCACCCCTGTTTCTTTGGAAACCTCTGCACCCCGCAGCCTTTCTACCGCTCGCCATGCTGTAGATCCACGAATGATGCAGAACCCTGGGTTTTCGAACCTCAACCCCCCTTCGGCGTTTAATCCACCAATGCCGGGTGTTTTGCGTAGCATGTTGTCTTCAGACCATGCCCCCAAAGCTGCTTCGGTAGCCGTCGCCGCACCCCCCGCTGTCTCCGATGATCGTGCTTTGCCACTTTCTTCTAACACAGCACACACTCGTCAAGCATCGATCGATGCGACTGATGCAGCTGCTCGTAATGCTCATGTAGCTACCGTTCAACGAGCGTACATCACCCTCAACTTGAAAAAAGTTGAGAATGTCGCTACCATGCCCTACCCCTCTACTCTGTTGCCGGGAGATGACTATCAGCAGCTTATTCGCACAACAAGAACGGCTTTGTCCGATATTTTGCTGTTGTGTGATGAGCAGAGTGAAGGTTTGACAGGCGCCGATTTTGTGCGTGGATGGAAACGTCCTCTCGAAAAAAAACTTTTGAGTGCGATCAACCCCGACAAGCCCTCTACCGCCGATCTCGTCCTTGCCGTTACTGATTTCTTTCAGCAAGTGAAACGGAGCTTGGATGGAGGAGCCCCTGGACCAGACGCTTTCCAGCTATTGTTGCGTCACCTGGCGGAGCAATTTGACGTCGGNGGATGGAAACGTCCTCTCGAAAAAAAACTTTTGAGTGCGATCAACCCCGACAAGCCCTCTACCGCCGATCTCGTCCTTGCCGTTACTGATTTCTTTCAGCAAGTGAAACGGAGCTTGGATGGAGGAGCCCCTGGACCAGACGCTTTCCAGCTATTGTTGCGTCACCTGGCGGAGCAATTCGACGTCGGAGACCGCCAAGAGTCGTTTTTGCGGCTGCAACAATTTGGCGTAGCAGATGGTACTCCTTTAGCGGATTATCTTCGGGCTTTCCGTTTGTTAGCTTCGTCTGTGACTGGCTCTGAGCGTACTTTGGCCCCTAGTGTATCCATGGTTCTCGAAATAGTGCGAAACTCGGTCGACAAGCAATTTCCGAGTCTGTCTCCGCTTTTGTACCCGGGTGTTTTGGCCACTGCGGTCACTCCCTTTGAGTCGATTGCGGTTATATGGGAGGCGTTCGCGCCTTTGGCGACTAATAGAACCCCGGCTATCGGTGGGTCATCTTGTTTTTCGTTGACTTCGACCCGTGGCTCTCTGCAGCCTCGGCGGTCTAACCATCGCGCCCCTGCGTCTTCGGGCCAGTGGGCATCCGGCTCCGCCCAGAACCCTGTAGTTTTGCCCATGCAACCTCAAGTCGCGGATCCTTTCACGCACAATTACAACTCATGGCCTGCTTCGCAAGCCGACTGGTCTGATGTATACGCCATCACCGCCAATTTTCGTAACACCGATGATCCTTTCTTATGAACTCCTTTGTTGACACAAGAGGCTCGTTCACAAGCCTTCCGCGAAAACAGACACCGCTGTCTGAACTGCTCGGGTGATGACCATTCCATGAAGCAATGTGCTTCTCTCTTCACGAATTCTGGTTGGCTATTAAATCCCGAGTTGGGTCACCTCAATGCCGATTCTGCTGCTTAGAGGCGTTGGCAAAGTCGCATGCGATCCTTCAGGCGTAAGGGTTCAGATGGACGCAACAATAATCAGGGTAGACGCCATCGGCAGTCTTCTTTCTCCTCCTCTGAGCGTAGAAACCACGCTGGGCCTCGCCGTTCCGACGGTGGTAGTTCCTCTCACAATCACCACCAACAATCACACCACGGTGGCCAAACCTCGGGACATTCCGCGGGTAACCAACATCATACACAACAGTCGTCTGGCAACACCCACCACCCTGGTGCTCTGTCCGTCTATCAACCCCAATCGCATGCTCAAACTGGTCCCTCGTCTGGCGTCATGGTTTCGACCAATCCCAACGCACGCCAGCCTGGTAACTTCCACAATGGCGGCCGTTCTCGTACTGGATGACTCCCCGACGGTGGTTCACCTCCTTCCCTCGGACCGCCTCCAGTATCTTTGGGAACTTCGTCTCGCTCAACACAAGACGCGCGTGTATCACCCTCAGTTGCCTATAGCACTCCGGTCTTAAGCAACGACAACAATACTTCGGTATATGCTCCCCCTACGCGCTCTGTTGCCTCTGGCGCTCCGGTCTTAGGCAACGACAACAATACCTCGGTGCATGTTCTCCCTACGCGCTCTGTTGCGTCTAGCACTCCGGTCTTAGGCAACGACAACAGTACTTCGGTACATGTTCTCCCTACGCGCTCTGTTGACTCCAGCACTCCGGTCTTAGGCAACGACAACAGTACTTCGGTACATGTTCTCCCTACGCGCTCTGTTGACTCTAGCACTTCGGTCCTAAGCAACCACAATAATACTTCGGTACATGTTCTCCCTACGCGCTCTCGCACTTCGGTGCTATCCAATGACAGCGGTACTCAGGTACACGCTGTTTCTTCAAGTGTCGATCAGGTCGGTATTCAGTCAAATGCTCACATCCCACCTTCGCCATCGCACTTAATGTCTGCAACCTCTGCACCCTCGCCTCGTCGGATTGCTGCTTCGTCGGAAACTAATCAGTCTGACGTGAGCGCTGTCTTGAGGTGTGGGAACAGACCAGTTGGACCTTCGGGGCCAAAGAGTTCTCCTCGTTCGTCGAGCACCTCTCGTTCGCTCCCCCCGTCGTCTGCAGATAGGATCGGCAGTAGCCATGACCTTTGGACGATTGATGAAGAATTGCCCGAATTGATTGCCTCAGGTGCTTCTTCGGATACGCTCAATTCGACTACGCTCGCTTCCGTTGAAGGTCCGCCTTCGACTGTTGCACCGATAGCTAACTTGACTGGTTCCGACGGCCAAGTTTTAGGGTCAAATTCGTCTGGCTTCGAATCGCCTTGTCCCCTGGTTCCGACCACCGGACATCCTCAGATTCCGCCACGCGACATTTCGACCGTGGGTCGTCTTTACAAGCCCCACCTTCTCCGACGCACGCTCGCACAACGGCACCCAGTTCTAGGCTGCTGTGACCGACGTCGACAGTGTTGACACCACCGCTTCGGGAGGACGCCCCCGAAGTGGCCTCCGAACAGCCGGCGGTCTCGCGTACCTTGTCACGGGGGAATAGCCTGGAGCGCCATGCTTGCTTCAGTTCTTCAACTATCCCGGCTTTGGCAGCCGTTCCAAGCGAAAGCGACCTGTTGCCGAACATCTTTCGCGGCGTCTCTTCAGGTTTAGAATTGGGGTGCACCCAGCCCAGTGTTGCTGGCTCAATTACGAACAATCCGACTCAAGTCGATTCTTCGTCGGTTCCCGCTGTTACAAGGACCACCCCCATGGATGTGCATACTGTCCATCATGACTCCGCATCTTCGGCTGCGACTCCAGCTTCAACTATCAGCACTCAGGGCGCTCCGGCCTCTGTTGCTTCGGCCGTTTTCGACCCGTCTACCGAGTATTGTACTCCAGACATGGTTTTCTTTTGGAAGCCACCTTCCCCTTTTGCCCAATGGACACCGTCGACCTTCACGGTCGATGGCGTTGCTTACTCGTGTGCCGAACAATTTTTCGCTGCAGAAAAAGCCCGTTTTTTCGGAGATCGCTGTGCTTTGCAGAACATCATGCGAGTGTCAGACCCGGCCTTACACAAAATTTTTGACCGTGAGGTCCGTGGTTTCGATCAATCTCTTTGGGAACAAGAACGCGAAAACATTGTGCTCACCGTCTCTTACGCAACATTTAGTCAAAATTCCGAGTTACGAAATCATCTCCTCGGATCTGGTGACAATATCCTTGCCCCAGTCCTTACGACCGTGTTTGGGGCATTGGCCTCCAGACCGATCATCCTGACGCTGAATGCACATCTAGATGGCGCGGCCTCAACCTGTTAGGCACCGTCCTACAGAACGTACACAGTCTTTTACGACAACGTGCCCCGCCTCCCGAGCGCAGCTCTCGTTTGCTGCCTCCGACCGACCACATGTTCCGACGTCGTCCCTTCATTCTGCGGTGTATGAAGTGAACCCTTCCACACACCAGCGCCTTCGGACGGCTTCGTGCCCTCCATCGACCTACCGGTTCGCGTCATTTTCGCAATACGCTCCGAACGTCCCGTCGGATGACGACACCGCCGTTTGGGCCGTGTCTTCAGAATACATCCCGTTGTCTTCCTCCTCGCTCCCAGAGCAAGGTCCGGATTTGGTTGGCGGTGTTGTTACCATCGATGACGACTCTTTCACCACCAGAATCCTTCTCCACAGCGGTTCGGTCTCTGTGCAGTTTGGGTGTATCGCTTTTTTGAATACGGGTTCTCCGCAGTCTTTTATTAGTGCTTCTGCATGGGAATCCATGAGCGCGGCTTCGGCTGCTTCGACGTTGTCTGAAAAACACACCCAACCTCGCTGTTGGGGTGGTTTTGGGAAATCTGCCCCGCTCCAAACTTCGACCATTGTCCGTTTGAGTGTTCAGTTTGTCCGTAAGAACCTTCCTACTTCCTCTCTTGCTGTTTGGGCATACGTTGTTCCTGACGGCGTCATGCATCATGACATGCTCCTCGGCAGAGATAGTTGGATGCGGTGTAGTGACCGTTCTTACCGCACTTTGCGTGCGAAACGTCCTGGTGACCATGTTTTTGGTGAGCTTACTTTAGCCCAACATGACACTTGTGGTGCCACTGCATTTGCTTACGATCTGTCCGCAACAGATGGAAGTTACCAACTTCGCTATGCAGGCAAACATTTCAACTTCACCCAGAGCATAGCCTCATGCAGGTCAATTTGGTACGCAATGATGGTTCGCCTGCCCTTGTGGGTAACTATTTGGTGGATATGCTCCCCCAATGTGCTATGTTTTCTTCCGAGGAACATTTTGTGCAAAATGGTTGTCAACGAATCCCTCTTGCGGGCATCTCGTCTCTCGAACCCGGCGACGTCCTGAGTACAGCTTCGGCTCCCCTTTCTTCGCGTGCCTCTTGGCGCTGTTTCTCGACACAGTTTTAGTGATGGTCTTGAAACTGCGGCTTCAGAATCCACCGCTGCTTCAGACAGCTGGGTCCCTGGTCCTGCTTCTGCGGGTGGCATTGATTCGTCTGCCACGCACTCCGTCTCTGACCCCTTTGTGTATAATTTACACGAGCGACCCATCCCGTCGCCAAGCGACCGAGGGGACTTTGGTTCCGCCAGTTCTCCCTCTTCGTCGCCTCCGCCTGCTCTTCTCGAGCGGTTGACGCCAGAACAGCGTCAAAGTTTCTCCCAAGTCTGAGATAAGCTCCCCTGCCATCTCCGTGAGATTACTTTTGATCTCCACGGCCCGGGTTGGACTCCCGATGTCATTACTCAGCTTGGTAACGTTTTGTGCGAATACCATGATGTGTTTTCGAGTTCTCCGACCGACTTTGAATCTTGTTCGCTGTTTCCTTTTTAAGCTTACAGTTCCTCCTGGCAGCGCACCCGTCACGTCTCGCCCCTACCGCGTTAATCCCCCGGTGGCGAAAATAGTTGACGCGATCCTTGACCAATATCTTGCGGCAGGTTTGATCCAACATTCGACCTCGCCTTACTCGAGCCCTTTGGTAGTCATACCGAAGAAATCTGGTGGTGTTCGCATCACCGTCAATTATCGTAAGCTCAACAAGCTTTGTGCTTTGAGTCAGCTTCCGATTCCTCGAGTCGATGATACTTTGGACAAGTTGTTGAAAGGGCGAATTTATTCCCTTTTCGACATAAAATCTTCGTTCCACCAAATCACGGTGCACGATACAATCCCTTTGACGGCATTCGTGACGTCTTCCGGGCTTTTCGAGTGGTTGAAGATGCCTCAAGGCAGTTCGGCTGCCCCTGGATGGTTTTGCAAAGTTGTCAACGAAGCATCGTATTTGGATGATCTGATCGTCTTTGATGACGCTGCTACTCATGTCGGTACCATGCGCGCACTCTTTGATTGCTTGCGTACGCACAACTTGAAACTCACGCCTCCGAAAGCTACTATTGGCGCTACTGAAGCAGACTTCCTCGGACACACCATCTCCCCTGACGGCGTTAGGCCTAACGGTGCCAAGGTTTCGGCCCTCACCAAAATGCCTATGCCCAGGGATGTCGAGCAACTACGTTCCCTTCTCGGTGGTCTCAGCTACTACCGTAAGTTCCTCCCCAACATGGCTAAACGCATTCGACCTCTGACTACTCTACTTAAGAAGCAGGAGAAGTTTATCTTCACCCCTTCCATGGAGCAAGCCGTTCGCGTTTTATTAGCTGAGTTGGCCAATCCCCCTGTTTTGGATTATCCAGATTGGGATGCTGTTTCAGACGGCTCGCGACCTCTTCACCTTTACTGTGATGCTAGTCGCGATGGGTTTGGTGCGACTCTCGAACAAGAACAACCAGATAGTTCCATTCGCCCAATTGTCTTCATCAGTCGGGCTACTTTGGACTCAGAACGCCACTGGACTCCCCTCGATCTCGAGGCGGGTAGCATCGTGTGGTGTATCAAGCGCCTTCGCGGTTACTTGTGGGGTACGAAATGTCGCATTATTACCGACCACAAATCTCTCGAACATTTTGCTAAGGTGGGGGAGAACAATGCCCACGTTCAGCGCTGGCTGGAATTTCTTACCGCCTACAATTACACTCTCGAGAATCGCAAGGGTTCCGCAAATGGCAACGCTGATTTCCTCTCACGCCTCCCAGTCGCTGCGGCTGAATGCGACCGTTCGGGTCGCAGCCGTCTGACCCCGGCTGAGGATGAAGAGGCGGTATTTTTCATCCGTTCGTGTGGCCTTATCCCTTCCGGTGATCGGGCCGCGGGTTTTGGCTTGGGTGGGCTAGTTCCTAAACCCCCGACTTCGGTCTTGGGTGGACTTGCCCCCTGTACGGCTGACTTCGCTGATTTCCGTCGGCACGATCCGCGTCTACCGCCATCAGGCCCCTAGTCTTCATCGAGCATTTGGAACGTTCTTCCTTGTCGCCCAAGATCGCTCCCTTGCCGTCCGAGATGTTCTGCCGTTCGGCGCGGTCGCGATTGCGCAATCGACCTCCCATCCTTTGGTCCGGTTCCCTACCTCAGTCTTTCGATGATGTTTTGGCTCTCGAGCCCGAGCCTCCGGCTGCCGTCCCCGCCCTTGGAAACCCGCGTCGGATCCTCGACCCCGCCCAAGTGATCTCCACCTGGACTCGCCGTCGCAAGGCAGCTGTGGCAGGCACGCCACTCCCGCCTGTTGATCATGGTTTTTCTGACGATGAGCCTTCTTTGTCTCCCACGCGGATTTCCGCTCCCTCTCGACCGTTTCGGCGCGGTCTCCGACGGCGACGAAGGCGCCGTCGATGACAACAGCCTTGCCCGGTTGGGTTTCGACTACTGGCGCTGGTGGTTTATTCTCGACTCCCTCCGCGCCTCTGGCTCACGGAGTGGAGCCTGCGTCTCCGACGCCTACCACAGCTGCAGTTGTTCCTGCGTTGCAGCCTTCTGCAGACCCCGGCCCTTCGGAGTCTTTGTCGCGAGGTGTCAACCGCTCGCGCGCATTCGCCTTCGGCCTCCATTGCTCCTCTATCCTCGGATGGGTTGCAGTCGGCGCCTCGCGAATCAGCCCCCTCTTCTATCGAGGCGGCTTTACATTCTTTGGCGGATTTAGCCTTCCGGGCGTCCGTCGAAAGTTTCTCGCATGCTGATTGGGCTCGCGAGCAACGTAACGAACCTGTGTGTGATGCAGTCATTCTTTTCATCCTTCTGGGTCGGCTTTCGACCCTCCCTTCGGATTTCTTGGACCGTGTTCCGTCCGCTCGTCGACCCTCTCTTTCGGAGATTCGTGACCTGTCTAACAAAGGCCGGTTGCATGTTGACGATGATGGTTTGGTCTTGCTTGTTCGCAAGCGAACAACGACCCCGTCGTCCACGACCGCACGTCCTGGCGGACGTGCTGCTCGCCTTCTTAACGATGAACCCATTCGGATTTATGTTCCCATGCTCATGCGTCCGTGGATCATGTAAGTCTGCCACGCTAATGCGTCCTGTCACCTCGGTGCGGCTCGCACGCTTAGCATGCTGGAACGTTTCTATTGGTGGATTGACACGAGTGTTTGTACGAAATGGTGGGTGCGGCATTATTTGCGATGCCAAGCCCGTGAATCATCTCGTCAGACTCCTCGGTGGCCTACCATGTCCCTTCCTTTGCCTTCGGGCCCTGGTGTGTCGGTGAGTGCTGACTATTTTGGTCCACTTCCGTTGACACCGCGTGGCAACACATACATTCTGCTCTTCACAAACCGTTTCAGCCGCCGTGCTGATATGTACGCGGTTACGGCTGAAGAATTCACCGCCGAAGGCACAGTTGACATCCTTGTCAACAGGTATATCCCTTTGTGGGGTTGCCCGTTGAGTCTTTTGTCTGACAACGGCTCTCAGTTTTGCTCTAAACTGTCCCAAGCCGTATGTGCCCGTCTTCCTATCCGCAAAGCTACTAGCTCGTACAATCCCAATGGAAATGGGGGTGTGGAGCGTGTCAACCACACTATGGCTCAGATGTTGGCTATGGTTGTCAACAAACGACAAGATGATTGGGACATTCATCTCCCACACGTCGCGTTTGCATACAACAACTCCGTTAGCGCCGCTACCGGTTTGGCGCCCAATGAGGTGCATATGAATCGATTGCCTCGTTTACCGATGACTGTNATGTGCCCGTCTTCCTATCCGCAAAGCTACTAGCTCGTACAATCCCAATGGAAATGGGGGTGTGGAGCGTGTCAACCACACTATGGCTCAGATGTTGGCTATGGTTGTCAACAAACGACAAGATGATTGGGACATTCATCTCCCACACGTCGCGTTTGCATACAACAACTCCGTTAGCGCCGCTACCGGTTTGGCGCCCAATGAGGTGCATATGAATCGATTGCCTCGTTTACCGATGACTGTTCTTGAGCATCCGTACGCTCGTGGCCACCAAAGCTTGCATCGTGATGAACTCGAATATTGCGATCTTGCTGCTGATCGCCAACGTCGTTATTACGACTTGGTGCGTGAACAGCATAACCTGTCCGTTTCGCGGATTGAGCGGCGTAATTCCACCCTATCGGATGCTTTCCATAAGCTTCCTTCTTACACTGTTGGTGGATGGGTTTGAGTGTATAACTCCGAACCTACTATTCGACAAGGCGTTCGTTCAGGTACAGATGATAAGGTTCTCAAAGCCAAGCTATCTCTACTCTGGACTGGCCCCTTCAAAATCTTGGCTGTGGGCCCATGTTCTGACAGCCCTGACGGTCGCCCTTTGGCCTCCAAGTTGCTTTACTTGGACCTTCCTTCGGACCTGCCGGACCAAGGCTCGAAACCTCGTGTCTCGGTTGTGCGTTGCAAGCCTTGCGCCAACCCGCATGGCACCGATGACCTGCCGCGCTTTCTGCCTGCTGGTCTTTTACTCAGTATGTCCTGAACTCTCATGCGAACAAATCTCCTCCCTACCATGTTACGGAAGACGACGTGTCAACTCCGGTTGAACGTTTAGAGGTCGAACGCATTAGTGAACGCATTAGTGACCACCAGTCCGTCCGTGGCCGTGGGGGCACGATAGCTGTTTTATGTCAGACACACTGGCAGGGCCTTCTGCGCCCTTCTTGGGAGCGTGAGATGGACCTGCAGCATTCCAAGCCGCACATTCTCCGGTACTGGACAGGTTCGCCTGACCAACATCGCCAAACAAATCGCCGTTATCGTGCGATGCGCATTGGAGCCGCTACCAGGGAATTGGCGTGTGCTCAAGGTGCGCGAGCTTTGCCTTCGGGCTACTCGCTTGTTTCCCGTTCAACATGGGACCGTCGCTTCGCCAGCACCCCTCTACCGGTGGGCGCCTTCTTCTGGTACAAGACACAAGATGGACTCTGGTGGTTGGGCAAGGTTTCTGGACCACCTCTGCCGTCCGACTTCTACGTCGTCCGCTTCTTGGACGATCCTGGACCTGTCAAGCTCGCCCTTCCCGATGTTCGCTACTCTACCGTCGAAATCGCCGTCCCCGGATCCTGGTGCCTCCAAGTACACAGCGGTAGCGCCCTATTCAAGGGTGTTCTTCGCAACATCGACATGTCGCGTGGCGACGTTGTGACCGCTTCGTTGTCTGATGACGTCGCGCGCCCACATTAAAATGGCATGCTTGGTTGTTTTTACCTTCTGTTGCTCTTGCAATAGCATTAGACAATTTGTTTTCGTTTTCTCGTTTTCTTTTGGCTTCAATAGTCCACCAGGTCGAGCTTTCTCTGTTCCCTGCCGAGGATTTGCCAGCTGTTGTTAAGTGTCACAACCCCTCTTCTTCTTGGTTTCGCTTCCGAAACGTTTGGTTTCCAGCCTTTTTGGTACGTTGTAATGCTCTTGTACTTTTTCGTATATTTTTGCCTCTTCTTGTTAGAGTTTGCGGGCTAAAGGTGTTTCGTGACCTTTGTTGTCGCTTCCACGCTACCGTGGTGATTATTTGGCATATCTTATCGTTTTGTCGATACAGGCTTTTTTTCACCGTTCTCTTTCCGTCGCTCCGGCGACGCTAATTTTGTTCGTTTCTTTCGTGTCCTCATTTCCCCTTTGTTTCGGGTTCTGACCTGTTATGGTATTTGTAGCCTTCGCCTGTTGCGGCTCTCCCGTTGGTTTTCTCTCTGTTAGCCCCAGTACAGTACTTCCTGTACCTTCATTTTATAGGTCAAACGATGGTCTTGCGACCCATCGAGTGAGAGGTGTTGGAGGGTAAATTGTGGTGTTTTGGAGCTCCGCATCCTCGATACTCTCATTTGGGATTTGACAAGTAATTGTCAAGTTCCGAGAATTAGTATCTGCGTATGAGAACCTCCAGGGTGGGCTAGTGTTATGGGATTTGAATTTGTAGGAAAGTACAAACGGTAGTGCGGGCTAATGCCCGGAGGAAAGTGCGGGAGATGCAACTCCCCACGGAAGGACACAACAGGGGGCAGGATCTAGTAGCCCCTGCTTTAGCAGCTGATCCTGGCCCCATCCTAGTNTTGTAGGAAAGTACAAACGGTAGTGCGGGCTAATGCCCGGAGGAAAGTGCGGGAGATGCAACTCCCCACGGAAGGACACAACAGGGGGCAGGATCTAGTAGCCCCTGCTTTAGCAGCTGATCCTGGCCCCATCCTAGTCAGTCCTCTAGCTTCCCTTGGCAACAGCTACTATTGCTGTTCCACACGAGTTTATAAAGAGTGAGTTCGTCTTCACGGGTCTCCCAGATTGCACCGCGCGTGCATATCCTTTACACTTGGCGTCGTCGGCAATTTGAGGACAGCACCCACGGGATTCGCGTCAGTAGAAACCGTGGAGGCGAACTCCTCCCGTCGGCGTTGAGAGTGAAGCTCTGACAAACGGGTGGCTTCTACGATGGGGCCAGCAGCACTCGCGCCATCAAACGACGGCAACAACGACGATTGGGAATCGTCTGCTGTCGGCCCGAAAGCCGAAGCACTGTGTGGAGACACCAGCGAGCGAGAACACTCTGAGGGCTCTGAACTGGCCGAAGCCGAGTCCGAGGAACCGACGCTATGTTGAGACATCCCGATCAGCAAGGCAAAGCTAAGTTGTGTGGAGATGAAAGCGCAGAAAGCTGCGTGCAGCAGCAGCAGGCTCGAGTCGCCCAAACACAACCCCAGAAAGCACGCTGTACGTCCTGCCGACGACGCCAAGTGTAAAGGATATGCACGCGCGGTGCAATCTGGGAGTCCGTGAAGACGAACTCACTCTATATTAACTCGTGTGGAACAGCAGTAGCTGTTGCCAAGGGAAGCTAGAGGACTGACTAGGATGGGGCCAGAATCAGCTGCTAAAGCAGGGGCTACTAGATCCTGTCCCCTGTTTTGTTCTTCCGTGGGGAGTTGCATCTCCCGCACTTTTCTCTGGGCATTAGCCCGCACTACCGTTTGTACTTTCCTACACATTCAAATCCCATAACACCTGTTTGCTCCGTTACTCCCATGCCCTGGTACGTAGTGCCTGGTGCTGGTACGTTTCCCTTCAATTTTTCCTTTCTCTTGTTTTTGTCATATTTTGATCGGTTTCCGAGGGCTATTTTCTCGAACGGTCGGTGCGGTACCTGTTCTTTTCTTCTGATCATTTTGATTTCTTTTTCCGGGGTTTGTAGTATGTACCCTATTTTATGTTTTTTTTTTTCGTAGTATCACCCAACAAATCCATCTCTATCTATAGAAATAAGTCTACGATAGATTAGCAATGAATCCATAGCGTGAGCGAAAATCTACCTGTATGTCTACGGTTCCCCCGCGGCGTCGTATGTGCCGGGTTTTGAGACCACGGGCTCCCCATTTTTTTTGACTTTAGAGCTAGTGCAAGAAACAACAACCTTGTTGTGAAATATAGTCTACGCAACCAGGAACGAGAGCGGAGTCACGAATGTTCGGACCATCCTTCCCAATCGCCGACAATGTCCGCACCTTTCGTCCGTGTCGCGTGTCCGCAGCCACCATGCATCCCTGTCCACTCCAACATACTCACACACCCCCACTTCACTCTCTGCACCTCCCACCGAGTGGTTCAAGGTTGAGCTAATCGGGCGGCCGAGACCGGAGGAGACCGTCCCAAGATTGGCCAGGTGTACTGCAGTGGGAAAGTTTGCCTTGTCTGCTGTTTGTTGCTGTTTCTTTCAGAGTGGACGAGGGAGTCCAAACGAATGCATACAAGCCACCAACCAATGGGGTGGGAGGGGGGCAGGAGACGGACGAGACGGCGAGGGAAGAAAGAAAGCAAACAAACGGGAAGAGACAGGCCGCGTGGCGCGATACGTGCCGGATTGGATTTCTTTTGGCCAATTCCCCCTCCCCCAACGCTGCACCATTGCACCAACCCCCCACTAGTGATGACGTACCATTACAATGCATCGCTGGTTGGTGGCCATGTTTGCGTGTTTGCTTGTCGTTTGTGGTCTCTCCACCGTGTGCCTTTCTCTGTCTCTTATTTGTTGTTATTTTCGGCCTGGTCCCTTTTCGTCCTCGCTCTTTTTATTTCATTTTCTCTTTCCTTACTGTTTCCTTTCTTTATGCTCTTCTCCTTTTCTCTTTTTCTCTCGTTTTCTGTGCCAGACGGCCTTGTCTCCGCTTGCGTTGTGAAGTACCAAGATTGAACCAAGGGGGTGTACCTCACTCTCTCCGGCCCGTGATGGTGACTCCTAGCCTCAGTTGTTGCCTCGCATAGCGCACCGAGGGAGTGGAGGACTCCAGAATATCTGTCGTTGATTTCTATTGACTTGCGGACCCCTCGGGGTGCATTTTATTTGAGTGTACCTTTTTAGGGTAAGTTAGCCTGCGACCACGGGAATCGACTGCGTCGAGTGTTGGATCAGTACGGACATTCGAAGGTGCTGGGTAGAGAGAGATCAGAACTGTTTTAAATGTGAAGACAACAACAACAACAACAAAACATATTCTTTCTGTTTTGCCGACAGCTGTGTTGGTCGGCTTCACGCGTGGATGTTTCCCTTTACGAATGAGTGTCATACGATGCCATTCGATGTCATTCGACGGCAAATAAATAGTGTTTCAGGTACACCCCTCACTCCCATGCTCTGCAAGCGGCCACTCTGTAGAGCTGGCAAAAGTTGCATAGATATGTACGTCAATGACCACGCTCTTCGCCCCAGCACATTTGCGGCCAGCCCCGTTCTTCGTAGGAAGTCGATCGATTCATCGATGTCCTGGTGGATT